GGCACAGAACATGCTATCGGTGATGCTGACTTGTATCCCATTATCCTCATACTGTTGCTCACACAACAACGAATCCACCATCTGAACAGCTCCCATGCGGATTGTGTCATTTTTGTAGCCTGGATCTTTAATGTCAGCCAATACCTTCCAGCCGGTAACCATTATTTTTAAATCCTCTGTGGATGAAGTCAAGTCCTGAGAAGATGACAAGCAAATGGGTTGAACACGACTGCTAATTCTGGCTTTGTCCAAGAGTTTTATGATAGCTATGTCAGAATCAAGTAATATAGGGTCATAATTGGGATGCACTATGATGGCAGAAATCTAGGGAGGAAACAGAGTAGGAAGAATAGGAGAGTTAAGAGCAGTGGCAAACCAGCAGCACCCTTTCCATACCACTATAATACATGTTAGTTTATTTTGCATACTTCTTCTTTACCCTCCACTCTCAAACTCTTCTCTCACCATAGTGCTCACTCAAATGAGAAACACACAAAGAGATCAAGAATCTTCTGACTTTTTTTTTTTTTGGTTTGAGTTTCAGGACAGTTTTTACTGCATTAAATTCTTCCTAATGAAAAGCAGTCAAGGACATTTTTAGCAAAATGGGGAGCTAATGTGCAGTTCGAGTTTTCCACTGTTCACTGAAAAGATTTTACCTGCCGTGTCATCTTCATCCTGTAGAATTTGAAGGGGGGGGGGGGGGCTTTGAATTAAAATATTATCTTCTTATTGAAATTCAACCATCTTCCCACCAAAAAAAAGAATACTAGTGATACATTACATAATGTTAGGGCCAAACCTTCACTGCTAGTTACCTTGATGAAACACGACAAGAATGGACAGGATTTCTATAAGGAAATATTGTAAAAAATAATATATTTCCTTACAGGAAAATTCTGAAAAAGACGGAATTAGATAGAGAAGCTAAAAATTGGGAGAGGGAGGGAGGAATCAAATAAACTATGATTTCTTGGATAAAATCCATTCATTAACTCACATACTCCCCCCACTCTAGAGGGAGAGACACACACAGCCAAAATTGCTCTATTTCTCATTCTGACTTCAACCTTTCCAGTCCTACTTCAAAAAAAACACCCACACTGGTGAGTCTGAGGTGCTATTTTTGGAGCTGGAGTCAGATATAAACTTCTTTCGAGTTTAGAGCTGTACAGCCTTGGGGCTGAGATGTGAAATGCGCTCATGGCATTAAACCAGTATCTAGAGCACAAGTGTTTCCCTCATAAATTATGCTAATCACCTTCAACAGTAGCTGGCATCTCTTCTCCTTTTTTTCCAGCTATATCACTCAAGGCATTATGGCCCATGGAACCTGAGCTAGTTTCTTAGTAATCTGTATTAGGGAGTGAACATATGAGTTGGACAGTATCAGGGGAATTTAATGAACTACAGCTTGTGCCCTCCTTGTGCCATGACAATTCTGTCAGTTGAATCTCTAGATATGCAGTTCAAAGAACATTGTGTAAAACGATGTATCTCTCAAAGGATAACCTTTTTCTCCCCATACAAGACGGACATGATCAGCATCTGTCTGTGCTCATCATTTTCCACTCTCAGCAGACTTACTCACCCGCAGGTTCTGGATGGTCTTTTCATCCCTGTCATCATCTCGGTAGAATTTCCCCAGAACCACCTTGAGCTCTGCTGTCTTGAGCACGACAGTCTTGCCCAGGTCGGTGACGCAGTGAGCTGCCACCACCACGGTGCGCTCGTTCACCAGGGCCCCGCTGCAGATAAGGATCCAGGCCCCTTTCCGGAGACTGTTCTCCTTCACCCCATTGGCCGTCCGATAGATTGCTGCTTGCCAGGGCCACCTGGTAGAGGTCACCGTCTTCTGAAGGGTGATGTTTTCTGCTTTTCCACAGACTGAGGAAATATGAACCAAGAATGAGGTAACACGTTTTCCCTACCAAAGAATCTGAATATCATTCCTGATTCTTGCTTAGGATGTGCCAAAAGAAACAAAACTGCAATGGTTAGCATGAGGGACAGCTTTCTAATTAATCTCTGTCTCCAACCTGCAAAATTACAATATAAGAGTATTTTATATAGTTTTTAAAAAAACTTTTAGTTTTTCCATTATTATCTGTGTTCCTGAGTGAAGTACGAATGTGGATTTAGCACTTGAGCTGGTGACTTTTCATGACAACCTTATCAAGCTGCACTATAGTGACATGACTGCATAAAGAAATAGAAAGAACAATCCTGATTCTTGCTTATAATAAAACACCATAAAGCCAGCAGAGCACTAAAACTCACCCCAAGCAATAACAGAGTAATTGTGAGGTCCTCTCCTAGAGCTGACCTTTGCATGGATGAGTTCATGCCTATGAGAACAGACTTGTCTTGCAACAAAACCTTGAAGCAAATGCATCTAAATCAACAGCCATCCTGAGGAAAAGAAAAAGCTCTGCCCTGTGCTAGGAGTATATTACCTGGGCTCAGATCTGGGGTAAAATCTCCTGTATAAGGAAGGTTTACATCAGTTGAAAGAGTTACATCATGTGGTCACATTTTTTAATCTTCCTTAGGATATTTTTTTTCTGGGGATGTAGTCTGGGCATGCCCATAGTGAAAAGGATTGAATGAAATACTTTTAAATACATGAGATGATCTCACAGCAAAACCATAAACAAGAATCCTAAAAATTTACTTGATGTTAGGATCTACTTTTCCCAGTTTGCCTGATGTCAGTAGCGGGTTGTACCAGGTCTTGTGATGTTCCTACCCTGATTTACTCTGTGCACTAGCTTTGGATAAGATTTTATCTGGACTTACAGTTTGCTATATGAACCCTTCCTCAGCAGGGTATATTAAAGGAAGAGCCTCTTCAAAATGCAGACTCATCATTCTATTGCTTAAATTGTCATGTTTTTGTAAGCTGTGCGCCAAAGTGTAGAGATGAAAGAAAAATCACACTTGCAGTAAACAATACAGGAAAACATGAAGTGATAGTAGCAAATATTTTCAAGTCAGAAGAGAAACTCACTACATCTTTTGCTCAATAAAAGAGTAGAAAAATTGATGGCAAATTACAGTGCTGAAAGCTTGAGCCCTTTACCATCGACTGCAGAAGTTCTGCTGGTGGATAAAAAGAGCCATATATCCTCCAAGCTTTATTGGGCTGATCTCCCAGCTGGAAGCACAGGCAGCCTGCACCACCAGGACTCCCTAATTATCTAAGATGAATACACAGCCTGTTCCCCTGTCCACCCAGAGATGTGTGCATTTTTTTCCCTTGGAGACTCACTTGGAATACACACAGGGGCTCTCCCACTCCACTTTCCTGTCTTCAGACAAGTCCTCCTGCTGCTACCCAGGCGGCGGTAGAAAGGAGAAATGCACTCATACTGAAGCTGAGTGTGCAAATGCTGGTATCCTGGGGGCAGGTCTCCAAACGGCAGTGCTGGCTTCTTGGTTGGATAGATTTCAAGCTTTTGCTTGCTGAATGCAGATGAGTAAAGTTGATGCAAAGGTGTTTCCCTGTTTCAAGGCACAAAGAACACAAGGTAATAACAATAATGATATTATAAAAGTGATCATTACCATAGCTTTATCACCAGCTGTGTTAAGTATCAGTTAAAAGCTTATGAAGTTTGCTTGTGAAAGAATTCGGCAAAAATAGTCCAATATAGTTTAGCAATGCTCCCACTACATGCCAACTATTTTATTTACATATATATAGGTACACATATATAAATACACATATGCTTATATACATTTTCTATTTGTGTCTCTTTTTTTTTCATTTTAAAGTTTCTAGATTGCAAGCAGTGACCTCTGAATGTGGAATAGTTTTTGCCATTCACAAAAGGACTGAGATACCATGTTTTTAAATAAAGACATTACACTGGAAGCTGGCATTACTGTAATTAATTCTCACTAGAGAGGACTTGAGCACATCTTTTCTCTAGTGAATAATAGGCAGTATTAGGAGTTGATTCAGATTAAATCATGTTGACAAAGTTGCTTGATTTAGCAATTAACAGAGGTAATTGCCTCACCACAGAGATTTCATAATTGCAGTAATCACTAAGCTTCCATTTAGAAATTGTACTGATTAGCTGAAATATGGCACATAATTAAAAAAATAATACATGTTCCAACCTAGATATGAACCATAAGCTCGACTACATTCACACTTAAATCTTAATCTCTTAGAACGTATCATTTGCTCTAATGCTTAAAAGCATGTATCTACAGAAAAAAAAAACTATTTACATCTGAAGAATTTAGCAGGAAATTAATTTCCCTTGAGATTTCTGATACTGCCTGCATCTAGATAAGCCATAGGATGTTTTTTCACATAGTAATTCCATTTTGATCACAGAGAGACACAGAGTGCCTCCATCATATAGAATCTGTGAGGTGATACGTAACAGCACTCAAGGAAAGTAAAGTTACTAAAAACAAGAGCAATGGCAAGTTTCTTGTATTTTGGAAGAAGGATGAGAGCTGCTGTGGTCATGCTTAGACTGCCAGGGTCCCATTCCCTGCTCATATGTGTCCTTGTAATATTGCATAATTCAGACTTTGCCTCACTATTAATCTATGAAATGGAGATCCTACTTCAAGGGATAAAAACAGTCCACAAACATGAGATGCCATCATGATGCTACGGAGGTGCAGGCATGTATGCCCTCTTATACAGCTGGTGTTAATATCTGAAACATTTAGCATAAGAAGACCTGTGTTCAGCAAAAGTGAACTGAGAAATTTAAGCAAGAAAAATCCCCTGATGGCTTCTCAGGGCCATCTCTGCAATCATACATCACAGAGCTGGAGAGTGGGAGAGTAGCTGGGAAGTACATGCTTGCCTTGCTCCTAAAGTCTCCTCTAGGAATCTGCTACTGGCCATTGCCAGAGTTAGGATACGGCTTGAGCTGGACCTTTATTCTGACCTGGTATGGCTGTTCTTAAGACCAAAGATGAGGACGGTTCTTGCACTGCATCTAAAAATAAATGAATCGTACTGAAAAAAAAAACCAACCCAACCCTGAAATGAGAAATTACTCCTTGGACAAAAATGAACCTGAACATCGCAGCATAACTAATTCAGATCGGTCTTATTTCAAGCAATCAGCAGAAGGGTAAGACAGACAGGGTCTGATACTTCATTCCTTCCTCCTCTCCTCCACACTACCCCGAACCCAACTTTGTATCAATTGTACTGTATTACTTTAGATGGTGAAACTTAATGGGAGCAGATTACATTGCTATATCCCCTTCTCTCCTTGCACTCTCCCCATTCATTTCTTTGCTAAGATGGCACATGTTCCTATTTTAAGACACATCATTAGCTCCATGGAACTGTTCTCAGCCTGTTCTCATAGCCTGTCACATGCTTGCAAGCCTGATTGCAGCATCGTCCAGTAGTCTGCATGTCTCCAACTTTGCGTTTCTTCCTGGCTGCCTTCAGCAGCTTGCAAACCTGTGCTTCATCAGACATCCCCTCCAAGCAGCTCTCATTGCTTGGTTATCAGTGGAGTTGTAGCAATGGCTGCTCAGGCAGGCTAAACCACAGAGTGGAAAGGAGAAGAGGGGAAAAGCAATCACATTTTTTCTTTAAACTGTAGTTGAGATATCGCATTCTCACCTTAACTGAACCTGCATTGGAAGCACTTTCTGTCTCACCAGGTCAGAGATCTTCGGCTCTCTGCAGGCTAGAAAAAATACAAAGTTGCACAGTACTTTTTCACATTCACAACTCAAGACTTGTGGTTCATACGCATTTCCACTCTTTCTCTCACTAGCCATAGTGGACTGTGTTAAGAAAAGTAGCAGTAAGTTCTGTGCATTAAAATAAAGATATGCCCTAAAACCTAAAGCCTTGGAAAAGTACTTTCCACAGATTGCTGAATCTATCCCTTTTAAAATGACGGAAGAAACTGAGCGTCTTCTGCACTGGCACATTCAGCCATGGAGGAAGATTTGTCCATCAGTGTGTCCGAATGCCAGATTTACACTGCTACAGCTGATGGTTTGGAATCTGAGCAAACTTTTGCAATAATGGAATTACATAAAAAATACTTAATTTCCATCTTTGTAGTCAGTGACTCAGGATAAAGGCTACAGGATATTACAGACTTCTAAGAGTCTTTTTGCTTGTGCACCCATTGGAAGGAGCTGGAGACTGATTCAGAGAAACACCTCAGAGTTATCTGAATATGCACAAAATAAAAGAAGGGAGATACCAGATTTCTAATTTTGCATGTTCTGTTTATTTACTTTAAAAGCAGGATAAAATATGCAAGTTTATCAGTTCAGACAACTCTGCCAGGGTCCTCTTTCTGCTGCAGACAGTAGAAGAAAAGGAATCTTGCAGGATGGATTTTACCTGTATGCCTGAGCACTTGTGTTCTTTGGGATATAACAATATTTAGCTCTTTGTGATTTCTGTATATGTTAATCTTTATGTCACTATCAAATTAACATCAGTAACGATGCTTTCCACAAACGATTATCATCAATAAAGATGCTTTCCACAGCTGATTATATGCTTCAGGGAGAGAGTATTTCCATCTAAAATAACAGAATAAAGCAAATTCCCCAAGGGACAGACATATTTCCTTATACTATCGTTACTTCAGTTTAAAAAAAAAAAAATCCATTAAAATATATGTCAAACAATGGCTTTGGGAAAATGAATTTGGCATATCCCCAGCCCAAATTCATTCATCCATTCAGGGTTTCAGATATGCTTAGAGTAGCTCCAGGCCAACAACATAATTCCCTTTCTAGCAAAGTCTTTAAAGATCTATTTCAGAGTTTTGATGAATACAGCTAGTTTAAGCATGTCCTCAAGTAGTTTTTTGAACCACACCTTCAAGGCTCCAATCTCTAGGCTTGGCCTTTTACACTCATGACTGGTCCCATTGACTTATAACGATTGTGAGAGGACAGCTGAGCCCTATGACAGCAACTCCGATGAGAGAATTATTTCCTTCTATTTCTATTCCCTCCCAATCTTCTCTGATTTCGATCTTACGCAGGTTTGATCTCAGAATGAGGGTAATAAGGATCTTAGTGAACATTCCTTTCCAAGTTTAAAGATGGAAACATCTTCTGGAATCACTGGAATCTTCTCTGACTGAGTTTGGCAGCCGGTAGAGCTGGCAAACTACCAATCTCAGTATCAGGTGTCAGTCAGACGGATAATTCTTAGCAAAAATGATTGTTCGGCGAGTGTAAATTACATAAAACAAAGTCCAGTAAAAACATAGCAGCTTTCTTAAGTTGTGGTATAAAAGATTGTAAACTACCTTTTATGCAGATTGGCTGCTTCCCTGACCATTCTCCATCGTCTTGGCAGGTCCTCTGTTCATTCCCACTAAGAACATATGAGTTGTTACAAAAGAAAGCAATGACTGTGCCAATTTTTGCATAGCGTCCATTCAAGAGCCCAGTGTCTTCTACTACTCTTCTGTAGCCATTGAGTGGGCCACCAGGATCTGAGCAGTTTTTTTCATCTAGAACTAATGATAGGGGAAAAAAATAGTAACCATTTTGTCAAGACCCATCGGATTGCTTGGCATTTCATTCACACTACACAGTCTACACTTTATTAAAGATGCCTTTTCAAGACCAATCTGTGATCTCTCCTCAAAAAGGTAAATATTAAAGAAGAAATGAAACTATAGAGATGTCTGTTTATAATACACACTTTAGTATTCATTGAGAGCGTAAGATTCTCAAATTGACAAAAAGATCTTAAAACATAGCTGACAATCCTGAAAAAGAACCTTGACTTTACATGATGTTAGTGTCTCGTTAACAGGGCTTCTTCAAGAGTATAAAAGGATGCCCTTAAGCTATTTGCAGGAAACAGGCCTTTGGCTTCTTTTCCCTTTTCTATACTTTCAATACTTCACTGGACTCAGATAATAAAACTAGACTACTTAATTTTACTGTATGTTTCATTGCATTTTAGTTTCTTAGCACTGAGAGAGACATCTCAATAAACCAGAGAAATACAGGAATTGAAAGAGAACAACTATATATATATTTTTACTGATAGGCTAGGTTCTGCCTATAAAACCTCTTTTACTTCCTCCTTCCCAATATTTTCCCTTTTTTTATTTGTTGTTGTATTTTTTTCTCTCAAGAAACTTATTTTTTTTTCCTAAATCTGGATGACAGTATTCCCTATGTGATGCTAATAAATGCTTTCCCCTATATTTTTCACTCCTCTGCTCCTTCTATTTAGCAGCTGAAATTGTACTTTTTTTCCCTTGGATTCCCATCTCAGTTTTCTTGTCAGACTGACAGTAACATGCAATTCTGTTTAATTCCTCTGTCTGATGTCTCATTGTATGATAACCAGTGAACATCTAGTTTAGACAGCTAGTGCTGGTGCTGCTCTGCTTATGGAGGGCTGAGAAGACTGCGACATATCAGTTGACCAGAAATGACCTCTCATGTCATTGTTTTGGATTCGGCTGCCTGCTGAGCCTCACTTTACAAAAGCACCAACGTATAACAAAGCACTTAAACATTTATTTAAATCCCTGTGAAATCAGCACAGTAACAGTGCATAGGTATGGCCCTGTCCTGTTCCCATATCCTCAAGTCACCAGAGCCCAGTTCAGCAAAGCGTGTAAGCACATAGTTAACAAGTTCAATGAAGAGTATATGCTCTTAACATTGAGTATATAATTGAAGCTAAGCATGTATTTCAGTGCTTTCTTTAACAACATTGGATTTTAGCATGTGCTGAAGGTTATATATGTACTTAAACACTTTTCCATAAGTCATTTTAAGTAAACAAAGAAGACATCTGAACTTTCTCTCAACCAGGAGAAAGGGAGAAGCAGAACCCTGAATCCTTTTAATTTGGCTCCACTTTTCTTTCCACAAGTCACTTTCCATAACTGACTGATAACTTGATAGCAGCTAAAGACTACAGGGAATCACCTACAGTATAATGCTTTATTTGCAAGTTGCTTTCTGCACTGATATCTAGCCTAGAGGCATAATCTGATGAGCCGAGTGCATGTTTCTAAATGGATCTAAGCTTGACCAAATAAATCAATGAAGGCTTTCTCTTATTTCATCCTATGCCTACGAGAAACTTGAACAGTAATTCTCTTCTTCCCTAAGCTCAGGATTATGACTTTTTTTGATGGATTAAAAACAAAGAGAAAACACCTGGGAAGGAGAGACTCAAATTACACCACCTAGCACTTTAGTAACAGCCAAGTCTAGAAACAGATCTTTCAACAGATCTTTAGCCAGGGACATCACTTAGCCTAGAGAAGTTGTGGATGCCCCATCCCTGGAAGTGTTCAAGGCCAGGATGGATGAGGCTTTGGGCAACCTGGTGTAGTGGAGGGTGTCCCTGCCCATGGCAGGGGGGTTGGAACTAGATGATCTTTGAGGTCCCTTCCAACCCAAACCATTCTATGATTCTATCATGCAGCAGAGGCTTTAGCACAATCCTGATATTATATTTACTGCAACTGGAAATGTTCTTTCTAGATATAAGAATGGCTATTGCTTGCTCTCTCAGATGAACTTATATACAGCTGTTTCACAACACTCCCTCTCAATTTACATTGTTTGCCACAACACCCTTGTAAAAGCACTTTTCCAATTGATACAAATTATTCTGGAATATGGAAATAAAACTGTGCAATACAAAATAACTGAAGAAAAATTAAAATTCTCTTCGGATGAGAAGAAGAGGCTTCGAATTTTACAGCTGAATCCATGTGAATGGTATGCATGCCAACTTGCATAGCCAGAATGAAAGGAAGTTTCTCTTTTATCAATTTTTCTCTAGTATGGGCATTCTGTTGAAATAAGAGTCTAGCCTTCATGCAGTAAGCTTCTAATCGCTTCCACAGAGGGCACCAGACTTCTGCAGAGAAGGTATCAGAGGTACATAGTAACAGGAAGTAGCTATTCATTGTTGTACGACATCCCTCACTTGGTTTTGGTCCTAGACATTTTCAGTCTGTGTGTAAGAAGGATGTATGCCTAAAGTCTTTGAGGAAATTATTTTTTCAGTTATTTGATGTTTCAGTCAGACCTTTATCCAAGCAAGTCTTGCAGACTTGGGCTCCTGCAAAGTGAAATAAGAATCCCTACTGCTTCTTAAAGACAGGAAGACAAAAGAACATCATGTTAAGCCATGGATCTTCCAAATTTCATGTGATATTTGGGTATTCTGGTTTCATGTGAATACATTGGCTGAAACATTTGATAAGAATCAAAACTTAAAGTGACCTTACCACATTCAGGATGATGTGTTGACCAAATCCCATCAAGCTGACAGTAGGCAACAGGGCTGCCTTTTAAGCTGTAACCTGCGTTGCACTTGAAGTAAACCTGGGCCCCGTATTTAAAGTCATCTCCTTCCACAATACCATGAGCGGGAGCACCTGGAGTCCTACACATCACCACTGATAGTTCAGATATTTCAAAAAAATCCACTTTATTACAAAAACAGGACTGTGTTAGGATGATTCTTTATTTAGAACATTGAAAAACTAATTAAAATGGGCACAGGAGTCAAAATTACAAGACAGGTACATGCCGATCTTTAGAAAGTTGTTTAGATGTCAGTTCTACACACACTTACATATACACCACTTTTCAAAACATATTTAGATCCCATCCAATGGGATTACTCAGAAGTGCAAAGTGATCATGTGAATAAGTGTTTGTATCATTAGGGCTCATTTGCTCAAAATATTAGTACTTGAAGCACTTTCCATCTCAACAGAGGTTTTGAATGAGCTACCATGCTTAGTCAAGAAAAAATTCAGCTCCTTAAAAGCCTTACACTGAAATTTTTTCAAATTATTCTTTCCATTTTTATATAGTTTTTCAGATAACCTCACTAAGGTATTATAGCATCATTATTTGTGTGTTTGCTCTGTTGGGAAAATACTTACAGACAATGGTCTATTTAACTACCACAAGTAGTAGATATTAGATTAAACATCTGTTCTGGTTTCAGCTGAGACAGTGTTAGTTCTTTTTAGCAGCTAGAAGAGTTCTGTGTTTGGGTTTTAGTCTGAGATTTGTTCTGAGAAGAATGCTGATAGTGCAGTGATGTTTATAGTTGGC